TGAGGGGGAGGCGTGGATGTTTCAGCCACATGAACATCAGGTCCGTCACGGGGTGGTGTGTGTAGCACAAGTCTGGGTGCGGGAGCAGAGCCGAGCGTGAGCAGAGCTGTGGGTTTCACTAGCGTTTTAGGTCAACCTTAGGGTTTTTAATAAGACGAGAATGGCGCGTGTATATATTTTTCTACAGGGACGATTCATTCAGGAGGTATTTCTGGGCGTTGGGGTGGAGCTGGGAGGTGCATGAGGCAGTCTGCTTGGTGGCTTCGTTTTCAAATGCTGTATTTTTTTAAAACCTTTGGATTTCCATCAGGAGAATTTTTATATTTCTTACCTTTCTCGGCCCACTTTGCCTCATGCCAGTTTTTTTTTTTCCCGGGAAAGGGCTCCTACGGAGCAGGAGGCGTGTTCGACCTGGCTTTGTATGACTCCTCTTCCACCACAGCACCGCCAAGAAAACCCTTGCCAAAATATTCCCCTCGCCCCGGGAATCCTTTTTTTTAAAGAGAAATCACTGACTTGAAACAGAGGGTCTTTTGGGGCAGGGGGTGAGCGTGGGGCGTCCATCAGGGCTGGGTGTGCAGCGGTACAGTGTGTCATATGGGGTGAGGAGAGTCGTTAGGCACTGCTTAATTAATCGCCTGGTTTGGCTGGCGAGGGAACACCGCCAGTTCCCTCCACTGGTCCCTGTGGAGTTTAAGAAGAGAAAACCTGGTGGACACCGCAACCGAGAAGACAGGCCAGCGTGCAGATGCAAGCTGCTTGGTTTTTCTCAGTTTCAATGAGACCTGAATGTTTTATAGTGGTTTTTTTTTCTTTTTGTAATTTTTTTTTTTTTGTAATGTCAGTATTGAGAGAAAAAAGAAATAAAGTATTTTAAAAAAAATACACTTCCTCAGGGTGTGTTGTGATGGGAGATGCCAGGCTGAGGTCACATGGGCAGCTGGGCTGAGGCTCTGTGCTGGGGTCGTCCCCACTGCTGGGCCGGCCCGGTGCCTGGGACCTTCCAGGCTGGCCAGGAAGGGAGTAACCAGCCTGGGGCACAAGACCCTCTCAAGCGACAGCTCAGGGCCGTGAAATCACCCCAAAAAGCCTAAACTTGGAGTCCACACAGCAGACAGGGCTGAGGGCAGCTCGTGAGCTGAGCAGGCTGGGCAGGCAGAGGCCGCACCACCTTTTTTCTGCGGATTCTGCCAGGGATGCCCATGGGGTAGGGGATGGACACGGGGAGGGGAAGCCTTTGGAATAGGAACACCCATGGGGAAGGGATGCCCATGGGGTAGGGGATGGACACAGGGAGGGGAAGCCCTTGAAGTAGAAACACCCATGGGTAAGGGATGCCCGTGGGGCAGTGGATGTCAATAGGGAGGGCACAACCATGGAGCAGAGGATATCTGTGGAGGAGGGGTGCCCTTGGGGGACGGATGCACGTGGGCCAGGGGATGCCCATGGGAAAGGGATGGTCCTGGGGTCAGAGATGCCCATAGAGCACCTGTGCCTGGCCCAGAGAGGGATAGGGGACCTGTTGAGCATGACCACTGCCTGCCCTCCACTGGCAAGAGTGCCTGCTGGGCCCGGAGGGTTTTGGGGTGCTGCAGGACGGCTCCAGTCCCTTGGGTCAGGGACTGGCCTCTAACCCCACAACACCTTGGCCAGGGAGAGGTCCCCCACCCTGCACCCACCATGGCTGGGCTGCAGCACCTATGAGCTCGCACAGTCCCTGTGGGACCTGGCTGTTGGAGATGTGGCTCTGGGGCCACAAGGGGAGCCCCAGCAGGGCAGAAGGAGGTACCAACCATGGTGGCAATGAAAGGGCTGCCCTCAGCTGCCCCCCTCGCTCATCCCCTACCATACAGGGCAAGTCCCAGCCAACAGCCCCTTCCTCCCTCGAGCATCTCTGCAGGTTACCCAGTCCCTCCAGCAAGATGCTGGGTAGGGGAGGGTGCTGTGGGAAGGCTCCTGCCCCTGCGGCTACCAGGGGTCTCTGCTGGTGGGTGGTCCCTAGAAAGGGGCATGGGGGGGCCAAACCCAATCCCCGGCACCAACTGCTTTCCTGGGGCTGCTGGGGGTTCACGGGAGGGGAGGGCGGCCAAGCTCCCCAGCTGTTGCGGGGGCTGATCTGGGGGACACCCTCAGCCCCCGGCAGGATTACACTGCTCTGGGGCAAGGGAAGATGCTCTCGGAGCTCCCGTGGGTGCTCTCCCCACCACAAGCCATGTCCCACAGGCAGCAAGGAGAAAAGATGAGGTTTAGCAGCCCTCCTGCTGGATTTAATTATCATTTGCAATTATGAGAGGTAGCAGGGAAGACTTGGGCTGCGGGGAGCCGGGACACGCATCCCACCACCCCCTGCCCTGCTTGCCCCGGCCTCCCCTG